AAAGATTAAATGGTAACTTGGTAGAGCTGGAAATCATATTCATTTGCAATATCCACTTTCTAGGGGTTATATTAAAATTTTATAATTTTATAATTGTATTAATTTTTAAACCAATTCTATTTTTTTCTAAGGAATGCAATATTTGGTTAATTTCTAAAAAAAAGTTAGTTAATATTTATTTTCATTCTGATAAAAAAACATATATTTATTGTGCGCTCTGTAATTGTACTCAAGTTGTGTTCCTTTGTTCATTTTATTTTCTCTACCATTTAAAAAGCTGCTTAATGGCATATGCTTGTTTTTAGAGCTTAGGACAGTGTTACAAAACAATATCTATTTCAATCTATATTTAGAATGTCTCTACAGTGGAATGCTTTCATGTGATAAGAGTCATAATTACTATCTCTAAAAGTAGCAGTAGTATATTGTTTATTCTTATATACATGATGTACTTTAATAATAAACTCACCATAAAATACAACAGATTAATTGATGAAAACTAAATAATCTTAATTTTATACTACTTATAGACTGATAATTGTTTTATTCTAAAACTGAATAACAAAGAAAATAGGGTAAGACTTGCGTGAGACTTTAATAACATAACAAATATAACTAATCAATTAACCTAATTGATCACTGAAATAAACATTTATTTTAAATGCTGGATATAAATAGTTCCCTTTTGAATGTAACTGCTGCAAATATACTTTGATTACTTTGGTAATTTCAAAGTAGTTCTGTATTATATTAATATATACTTTCTGATCAACCTATATAATAAAATATTGTAGAATTATTAGTAACTATTTTTCAGCATTTGCAGGAAGAACTATGAATTCCTTCTACACTATTTTTATATGAAGGCTTTTTATATAAAAATAAAGCCTTTGTATTAAAATAGTGTAGAGGCTTTATTTTTATATAAAAAGCCTTCATATAAAAATAGTGTAGTACAAGAATTATCAATATACAAATGGATACATGCATATGTTTCAGCATCCTTGCCATTTATACTTGGTATCAATGAATAAACAATATTTCACTTCACAAACACTGGCTTTGGCAAGCCTGATTACTACCTCATTTTAATATTTATTAACTAATCAGTGAGGAAAAATACAACTTTTTATCTCATGTATGATAGCATATCATAAAAGCTTAAGTGTGCAAATCTTTCCAATAATAGTACCAGTTACATAATAAACATTAATTTTATTTCTGTAAAGATGTATATTTGTTTAATTTTAAAACATCTTTATTTGATTTGTACATTATTCTTCCTCTGTGTATAAAAAGGCACAAATATTTCAAATATTTAATTTCATGCAATCACTTTCTTCTAGACTCTACTAATATCTTTTAACAGTAGATCAAGTAACAATTATTTCCTGGCCTCAAGCAGTAATATCCATAAACTGAACACTAGTCTCAAATCACCAATTTATCCCCAGGAATTATAAATACAGGATGGGAATTTAACATAAAGCTTTTTAAAACTAAAGGCCATTTAAGTATATCAACAATTTAAAATATGCAGTTATATAAACAAATCAATAAAATGAAGAATGCCACAAAGATGGCTATATAAAACATAATCTTTTTTATAACATCTTTGAAATAGAAGTGTAAATAGGCCAAAGGCATGCATTTCTGAAATACAATACTACTGGGCTTTAAAACCACATTTTCTGGTATATCCCATCAAATGCACAATTTTGATTATTTCTTTCCAAATTGAAATACAATTTTCCTTTCTTCTCTGATCTGAAAGATGTCAAACTTCTTATAGAAAGAGTTGTTTTGGCAAAGTTAAAGGGTAGAATTAAAAATATTGCATATGTCGTAAGTCTGGATATTTTGAAAGAGAAATCTACAAATAAAGTGCCTCACAGCCTCTCTGGAAGAAAAAAGACCAAGCATTTTAAATGAAAAACATTCCCAAGGCAATGATTCTTTCATTTCTATATGCAAGAGGGAGACTGGGATTCAAAAAGTTCATCAGCAACAAAGCCTTACTCCATCCCATTTAGCAGAATGTCAGTCTGTTATATCACGTTAGGATTATATAAGACTGTTTTCTTCCATTAGGAAGAGTTCCTAAAATGGGCACTGTCAGGGCTGGTAAAACTGAAATCTGACCTAGTTTTCTCCAAAGATTTACATAAATTTTATGGTAATTCCTTCTACAGTTGGAGCTTGTCTTTCAAATACACTATGCTAACTGAAATGTGCTAGGAAAAAAAAAAAAAGAATAAAAAAACAAAAATAAAAAATAAAGAAAAAAAAAATGTGCTAGGAAATACTTTACTTTTCATGTGTCAAAGTAAAAATCTACAGAACATGTAAGAATTTCTCAAATTTTTATCTCCAATAGTGAATTCTACACTTGATCTTAGCCAAAAGGCTGAGAAGCAATCCAATAGTGAATTCTTATAACACTTTCTATTTACATCAACTTTACTATCTGTTGTAAACCTACATTAAAAAAATTATTCATTTGGAGTACATTAATAAAATAGAAATCAGCTGATTAGCCTTACAGATAAGTTTGATAAAAGACAAATATATGAACTTTAAAACATACTTTATTTGAAAGATAAAGATTCTTTGTATTGATCACAAGGCTATCATGTAGTTTTCTATACTCCTTTTAAAAATGAAGCATTACATTCCTGAGAGTGAAGAAGGTTGGTGAATTAATTAAAATAGAAGCCACTAAAAACTTGTTTAAAAAAGAAACATTTCTAGTCACAAAATAAAATGTGAAATGCATTTCAAGTAAAATCAACCACACATTTACAGACTTTTATATTATTCTTGTAATTCAAGTATAAATACTGCAATTGTCCTACAATCATTCTAGAGAAATCACTGAGAAGTCCACAGAATTTAATTTCAAATAAAAGGGTAAGAAGGCATGCAGTCTATAGAAATTATATGCGTATGAAAGATTGGCACAACAAATACATTTTCATCATATATTTATGGTAAGCAATGAATCACTTCTCATATTTATTCAAGACTTCCAACTTCATTTTCCTGAACTGAAGTTTATAGGTATAAAAATATGACCTGTATTTACTATGCTTAATTAACCATTTAGCTCTGATTTCCACTGAACTAAATGAGGATAAGTTGGTTATAAATACTTACAATGAAATGAAAAAAAAATTAACTTCATAGCTTAAAGGATATCCATAGAACTTTATATTGTATATCTCATAAGATAAAGTAAATAAATGTGACAAATACTATAATAATAGACTTCAGTTTTAGCAAAAGAATGATCTTGTTAACTCGACATTTATTACCTTAACTTCAAGCTTCTTTAGAATACACAGGAAATAAAATTACTCTATGCCCACAAAAACCAAAGCAATATGAGACAAACTATCACTGTTTGTATTTCTCCTATTTTATCAATAGGAGAAACTCCAGGACAAAAGTTCTCAAAACAGGTAATATTCTCTGTGTTCAAACAATGTATATTCAAGAATAACTAACTGAACAAGGTTTAAAGAATACTTTTGGTACCCTTACATTCTAGTTATAAACACAGAAGGATAAGAATAAAAACAGTAATAATCAATACTCTCCAAGTACAGCCATTAATCTTTTACACAGCTGAGGTCTTTTTGATATATATTGCTAAAATTAATCATATAAATATACAATAAACAGATCATTCTTAAAAGTCGATATTATAAACTATGGTGCTTAATAAAAATCCTAAATATGAAAACACAAAGTTATAAACATAAAGTAATAGAATTTTATAAACAAAGCTAACAACCTATGATAAAAAGAACTGGAAGGAAGGAGCAGATAGGCAGATTTACAGGCTATATTGGGGATTAAAAACTATAAGTTAAAATTCATATTAAGACATTTATGTCCTCAGAATAATTACTGATATTTCAATACTTATGGCTATTATAACTCCTATTTCAGAAAAAGTGGAAAAAGGAGAATAAATGAGGCTAGTTTTACCACTCCTGCTATATGAGTTACAACTGTAGTTTCAATGCTTTTTCCTACTTCTTTCTTATATCATAAATGAATGTATTTATGTCCTTTCTTTCTGGCTCATATGCATAAATCACTTTTCTGAGGACTGGCTATTATAAAACGGCCATATCTTTTGTGTTTATGCATAAAATATAACTCATTTGAGTTAAACACTTACTTAAATTCTGTTAAATAAGCAGTGCTAAATGGGGAAAATAAGCATTAAAAGTAATCCTAGCTATAGAAATAAAACTAAATTCCTAGGAGGTTTTATAGGTGAATGATAAAATATGTGTTTTGGCTCAGAAAATAGAAATCTAAGGAAAATCAGGATAAGCCTAATTAGGCTAAATATACTTAAGATTTTTTCTGTATTTTGTTTACATGTAAAAAGGGAAAGCAGAAATGGTAACAGCATTACAATATACCCATACCCCAGTTCTTGCTTTTTGCCTAGTAAGAACAGTATATTATAGAAGGTGGTGAGGATGACAATGATATAATGACAAATAGGAATGAAGTCAATACAAATGCAATGGGCCAATCTAGCTTTTGAGAAGAGAATGGTTTTTATGATTGGTTTTACCGAATTGCAACTAATTAAAAATGTATTTGGACAGACATAGAAACTTTTAAAAACTGTGTCCATAAGCTTTCTCATTCAGAGATATTACCTCAGTGAGACCTAATTGAGAAGATGAACATATGTATTTTTTCTAAACTTAAAGCCCCAATTTCTTAGAAACTGACTTAATTTCCTCTGAAAATATCATTTGTGATAATAGTAAAACAATTCATTTCCTGTGATTTCTTAGGTAAGAATACAATAGCCCAAATCTCCATAAATTCTGTTAAATAAGCAGTGCTAAATCATACTGATCCATGTTAGTGTTTTAGCCTAGAAAAGTCAGTGCTAACACCAAAGTAGATTAGTCTGAATATCATAGTTCTTAAAAATGTACGTGTAGTACTTATATGTCAACACTTACGGCTATCGTAACATATGTTTCCTAGAGCCCTGCCCGTTTGAAGCAGCACTTCCTGGTCTTTGCTATTTAGCAGCTGCACCAGTGGTGAAATCAGTCCAGCATCCACACATGGAATTCGCATAAACTCTGAAAATAAGAGACATATTTAATTAAAAATCTAACAATTCACAATTTTTATAAATCAACTCCTCTAGTAAAATAAATACCTACTTTTAATATATGGTATTTAAAAACCATCTTGAAAAGGTAGCTGAATATTTGAAGAGTACATTTCTGTTCAAAAGTACCCTATTAGAGCCCTATTAAATGCTTCATAGAATAAACAAATACGAGTGGGGTCATATTTTTGTTTGCTGACAGCCTCTGCCATAAACCAAAAGGATTTTTAATTAACTTTCATTACAACTAGTTTATCACTATCTTCCTTTAATAACTGGATGAGCTTTGGAAGCAGTATGTGTGATAATGGAAACAATGGTAATGCATTTCTACGAGCCTGATAATTAAAGTACTACAGTTATAAACTAAGCCATCAAATTGCCTAATTTTTCACTGTTTTCTTAAAAAAAAAAGCATATATATATATATAAATATACAAATATATATATATATATATATATATATATATATATATATATATATTTTAAAAGGGTTCAATGACCATTAAAAAATAATATGTCCTTTTTGGTTGGTAAGATATGGTGGAATCATCCACTTCTTATCTTCATTCCTTGTCCTTTATTAAAAGGATAAAAGGTTTTATGGCTGACTCATATCTGCTGCTGTGCCCATACATTTACAGGTCTCAAGCACTGAATATTAAGATTTCTCAAATTTCAAACTCATTTTTTCCTTATATTTATGGCATACCATTCTCTAGGTATTAACTCTCCATGATACCACCACAGTCATGACTGAACATAAACTTTTTTTTTTTTTACAGTGTCTCATGATGGGCCACTACAAAACATAAGGACATATGTAACTGATCAAAGTTCTCCAATAATCAATAACCAAATTATCTTTTGGACATCACAACTCACCATAAGAATATTCTGGTCAATAAAATTAGTTAATAAAGAAATAATTTCTCTATCTATACCCTGTCCTACTAAAAAATCACTATCTTTTCACTCTCACTAACAAGGTGGTCTACCCCTTAGTTTGTTCCACAGGTACCCTCATAAGCAATCCTCCCTCTCCCTTCATTTTCAATTTCTTAGAGCACACCATATAGGTTATTCTGTCATCTGTCACCTCTGAGACAACTTCTTTTCCTACTAAGACAGCTGTAAGTCACAGAGGTATTTCTCTCTACCTAAATAAAGAATTTAATTCCTATCATCTCTTTCTTACTTATTACTCTATCACTAAAAATTCCTTGTAATATAAACTTCTAAGACTGAGATTATTTCCTATTTCAACAACTAACCTTTGAGTTTGTCATTGATGGCTTAAACTCAGTAATATTAAGTATACCTCTACTCAGAAAATAAATTATGTTATACATGTTCAGAGATTCAATGACCATCTATAGGAGATGACACATCAATCTGCTTATGCATCTCTTTAGTTAACGGTTACTTTAGACCCTTCATATATTTCAAATCTTTTTTTCCTTGAGACAAGGTCTCACCCTCTCACCCTGGCTGGAATACAATGGCATGATAATAGCTCACTGTAGCCTTGAACTCTTGAGCTCAACGGATCCTTTCTGACCTTAGCCTCCTGGGTAGCTGAAACTACACACATGTACCACCAGGCCTATATATTATAAATATATATAAATATATATATATATATTTATACACACACACACGCGCGCGCGCACGCGCGCGCACGCACACACTCTTTTTTTTTGAGATGGAGTATTGCTGCTCTGTTACCAAGGCTGGAGTGCAATGGTGCAGTCTCGGCTCACTGAAACCTTCACTTCTGGATTCAAACAATTCTCCTGCCTCCGCCTCTTGAGTAGCTGGGACTACAGGCGCATGCCACCACACCCGGCTAGTTGTTGTATTTTTAGTAGAGACAAGGTTTCACCAGGTTGGCCAGGCAGATCTCAAACTCCTGACCTTGTGATCTGACCACCTTGGCCAATCAAAGTGCTGGATTTACAGGCGTGAGCCACCATGCCTGCTCAAGTTTTGTTTTTTGTTTTTTTTTTATAGACAGAGTTTCACTATGCTGCCCTGGCTGGTGTCAAACTTCTAGTCTCAAGTGATCCTCCACTGTTGCCTCCCAAAGTACTAGGATTATAGGTGAGAACCACCATGCCAAGCCTAGATTTCAAATCCTAAATTAATATGCCACTAACTCGTATTAAAGACAGATTTCATTATCCTTTTCACTGAACGATGTCTGGTTCCCAACAGTAAGATGATTTCATTGACCACTAAAACAAAAAATTTAGGAATGGTCTGATTTGCACTCATTTCATAAATAAAACTTGTTTATCTTATTATTTTGTTTTGTTATTGTTATTCTTCAGGCAATGGCAACATTAATGAATTACTGTGTTTCTTTACTCTTATGTTTTATCTATATGACACCAATCTTTCAAAATTTTGTCTCTACAATCAACAGCTTCAAGTATTCTTGGAATAATGGAGGATAAATAATTAGAGAAAAATTATGGAATCAAAACTCTTTGGAACCATTTTTACTCAAAAACATATAAAGATAAAACAAAACTAATATATATATATTCCTCAGCTTTCAGTCACTGTCAGTCCCTGGATAAAGCAAAAAAAAAAAATTTCTTCTAAGAATTTTTAAGAGTGGTAGGCCTCACTAGCTAATTTTAAAGACATGAAGTTATCATGCTTCAGACAGATATATTTTTTAAAAATACCAGGGATGTATAAGAATATGTTTGAAATGTTATACATATTACATTAGAGAGGCTTCAGAATGGCTGACAGTCATCTTATACCTCTCTACATTCACACCTGCTACCTTTCACAGCTGGCTGGATTCTGACTCAGTAGCTAAAGAGATGGTCTACTTTGAAAGATTTCCTAAAAAGAGCAATGGTGGTGAACTTAAAAAAAAAAAAAAAAAGTGAAAATCAGATTCTCTCTCTTGGCAATCTGAAATCAAAGAACTGAAAATTTTGGTTAAGGGAGCAGAGCAGTACTGCAAGGGGGAGAGGCTGAAACTGAGATACATGACAGTGACTAGAAATCAGTGTTAGTGGATGACATTATGCTGCAGAAAGCAGGAGCTACTAAGTATTTCTGTATATGTGTATTTGCCTATACAGCATAGAATTCATTTTTTTTTTTTTTTGCAAAACACATATAAGTTAATACAGAAATTTAATACAGAGATTTGAAGGAATAGGCATTGCTCTATTTCAATATCAATAAATATAAAAAGTTGATTTCTGCCTAAGACTAATGTTTTTCCCTTTGACTGTAGTAATATATTCATTAAATAATTGTTGATTATTTCTATTCTTTTCTAAATCTAGAGTGTTAACACTTTACTTTTTTGCTTTTACTTTCTCAAACCTACTTGAATTACATATTCATCCAGCAGCATCATAAAGTACAGGCTGTGATGAAAACCACAAAATAAAATTATTTTCTTTTTATATACACTGAGATTTATATCCCTCTCACATATCCTCAAATAATAAAAAACCTGAAGTCTACTTTCTCCACTTTCAGCTACCTTAAAACTCTTTTAAACCAAAATTTTCAAGCCAAATAAAAACACTAAGTAGTACAGTCTACCTTAGTGTTTATGAAACTAAATCATAATATATATATTCACATTTCAATTTTCTCTAATAACCTCCCTGTATTAATTCTTAGCTTTTCTCTTCAAAAAACAAAGAAATCTATGAGGCATGAATATAAAAGAATGAGTGACATTTATATTTTTCATTCACACTTTGTACTGGCCTAGTTTTTAAAGAAAGTACTGATGATCTTTCTTACAAAATGACTAAGGTTAAGCTTCCAACCCTGAGGTCTCAAGGTATACTTTAAGCTACCTGACAACATAGGGCGTTTTTCTGGAGTCTCAACTTTATTCAATGATTTTTCTAGGGCATGCATGCATTTTATACTAAAGTAAACACGTACTACATGTATCTGTTATGGAGTACAGGGCAAAATTAAAATAAATAAAATTATAGGACAGAACAGGAGACTTCTGCATTTCTGGTTAGTGCTCACCCAAGGTCCTCTTGGGCGTAAATTTTCACTCTTCTGTTAAAAGCACTCAGATGGAAGTTTGATAAAAACTGCAATATGATAAAGTACACAGAAGAACAAAAAAGAGTAATGTTAATAGAAACTACTGATTCTGTACTGCTTTAGACTGAAACTTGGTTCTCAAGCTTTATACTCATCAGAATCACCTAGAAGACTTGTTAAAACAGATGGCTGGGCCCACTCCTGAGTCCCTGATTCAGTAAGTCTGAGTGAGTGGATCCAAGAATTTGCATCTAACAAGTTCCCGGATGAGTCTGCTGCTGCTATGGTCAAAGGCAGGGAACTGCTTTAGAGCAACAGACATAAAGCAGTTTCAACTTTTGCTGGTTTTTATACATTTTCATGTCAGTTACCAGCCCAATCTTTCAGGTTACATGCTACTACCCCTGTATTCAGACCACCTCTACACATTCCACTGCCAACATAAAATCTCATTTACTAAAAAAAAAAATGAAAGGAGAGAAAAGAACTAGTGCACAAAATCCAACTATTATCACATAAGTGTCATGACAGACAAGATATTTAGCTTCCATGTTTTCTCATGTATATAAAATAGCCCTAACTCACACGGGATTGAAATAATGTACATGACACTTTTGGTCACAAAATCATAGCTAGCATTAAGCACTATTATTATTATTAAATACTTTGAGAGTCCAATTCTGAAATATTCACAGATACATCATATCTTGCTTACTTGTCCTTTTACCTCATATCATTATTAAGTCTATTATATAAGGGAATAATACATTTAAAAGGTCTAAAAAAATCTTTTACTATAAGTTATGGTCAAAGCTACCCTCCCACATTGAACTCACCCATGGAACTTCTTACACATCCTCTAAATTTTGAATGTCAGTAAAAGGTGTGTTAATTTTTAAAGATTCTTTTTGTATGCACAAAAACCTATTTGGAGTTTATCTGAATCTAAGAATTATATGCTAATATTTCTCCTTTGTGCACAGCAGAGTAAAGGTGAACAATTTAACTTCCAACTTCATATTCTCCGGTTCATACAATCTTTTTCACTGTCAATTTCTAACAAGAAATACATGCCCAATTAGTATACTATGTTGTGTCAGTTTGCATTTCTGAAGGTAAAAGACTTGTTCTTAAAAACCAAGATGCATTGTATCTAAGCTAATTCAGACAGGGGATGGTCCAGCTTAACAAGCCATGTCTGGAAAGAATTCATTTTCAAACTACATCTGCTTCTTAGATGTGACATAGAAGAGTGATAGCTGGCCAATTTTCTAACCACCACCAAAAGATGATATGCCAGTATAGAATCTAACTAGAACTTGCAATGCATTTTGAGAACCTCTACACAAATGACACAGTTTCACAACAATTTTCTTTTTGATAGCACACCTAAAAATACATTGTTTTACCAGCCCAAACCAACATATTCTGGTACTTTACAAAGCTACTTGCCATGATAGTTACACAAATGAAGCCAGAATTTTTAAATTCTTTTGCTTTAAAGAATAATATATGAAACATATTAAAGGCTAAAAAATAATGTAAAACTGACAAACTGAGGCACATTAAAGGTATTATATATAGTATGACCTTCTCTTATGCTTAAAAATTGCTTTAGAAATTCAGTGTTTTCCTCAAAACTGACTGAATTTGCATGACCATATGCAAATATTTATGCTATAATTCATCCAAAGAATCTCAGTGTATACACAATACACAACATGATGGATTAAGTATTCTAAACTTTGTCATTATTTTTTCTCCAGAGTATTCTTACATGAAAACTTAAGAAAAATGGAACTTACATGGAAACTTAAGAAATATATGTTTTCCACAAAGGTGAGTGCAGTAAATAGAACATACATTCCCACTATACTAAAGTCAAGTGCCAATGTCGGAACAATAGGCAAAACTAAAAAAGAACAGTACGTTTATGTGGATATAACACAAATAAACATAAATATTTTAAAATACATTATCTCTTATGACAAAAAAGATAAATGACTCAGTGGCAAATTTAAGAATCTTATACCCAAAGTAATAAATAACCAAGTATAATCGAGAGTAGCAGAGCTTTCCCATAATTCTACTGAGAAAGAATGGGTTATCAAATGGGGCATGTGTGAATGACTGTAACTATAGTCATTTAAAACAATTACATGTAGAGTTGAACAAAAGATAAATAAAATTTAAAAATGTCTAATCTACAAAATTAAAACATAAATGAATAAAGCATACTGACAAGTAAGATGTAAAACTGAAGATGTTCCCAGCAGAAAAGTTCTTGAGGTAAACCTCACCATTTTTGGCTACTTCTGCTATGATGTTAGCTACTTTGGCTTTGAAGGAAGACTGTGGAGTCAACAGACTTGCAAACAGCTGAAGTATTCCACTTGCTTGGATTTTTTCACTTGTTTCCATATCTACAAGAGATACATACAAAGAGCTTCAATGAAAATCTTTAATGCTAACTGTTATCTACAATAAATTCTTCAAGAATGTTTCCCACCCATAATAGAAATTAGTTTCAGTATACATTCAAATATATATGTTTATATAAAATTACCTTCTGCTCCATGAGCTGCTTTTATCTTGAGTTTTAATCTGCACAAAACACTTGATAATATTTTGTTTATTAAAAGACTATACAGAAGTTCCTTCTGAATATATCATTTGTGTACCAAATTTACTTTCAATGTTAGTTCTAACCCTTTCTATTCAGAATAGAAATGCTTTTTTCTATATCGCTTCTGAATTCTAAGAGCGATTTTATCAACTCTATGGTTCCCTATAATGCTATAGCAACTTTAAAAAATAGCAATCATATAGACAAAAAACTCACCTCCTATCATTTTATATGGAATGAATAAGTGAGAGTCGAGGTGATTATATGGTTCCATGACTCCCATGTTTTTCATACAACTCATTCATACCACCATTAATGAAGACGGGAAATAGTACATTACAAAAATCCATGGTATTGTGAACTCTATTTGGTGATACAGAAATTCAAGAGGCCTCTTTTTTGTTAAAATACAAATAAAGGGCCTATTGAAGCAAACTACTTCATGTCTGTTATTGAAAGAATTACCTATTAAATATAAGATAAAAGTAAAGAAAAGCTCAAGAAAATAAATTATTTGTAAACAATGAAGAGAAATGGCATGTGTTGAAAGCTAGAGGGTTATAAGGCTCATTAAAACATTCAATTGTAATCTGTTTCTATATGTAGCTCCTCCATATCCTTTAGATCCTTAGATGTACATACAAATAACAGAAAACCCTAAAAGTTTCTTGTTAACTAAATGGCAGCTGCTATGATCAGTAAAGAGCAGGAAAATCATTTTTAACAATTTGAGAAAGTCCACAAAAAAGTAAGTAACATATTTCTTTATAATAAGTACTGATTGTTTAATACAGTTTTTCAAACTGTGGGTCCCAATCCATTAGTGAGCACTAAAATCTACTTAAGGAATGAAGACCAAAATCTGGTTAAAAAGAGAGAAAGAATTAACAACATCTACAACAACAAAAATGAAGAGAAAAAAATTGCACATGGTAAGGTCAAACACAATTATTGAAATTTTGGTTTGAATTACGTGTATGCAGATGTATGTGTGCCTGTAAGTATATATGTACTGTATGTAAAATGTATTTCTAATCATGGGTTTGAGGAAAGTGAAAAACCACTGTTCCATGTACCCCTTGATTACCAGGATTTGGAGTTAAAGAATTGTAACACTCCAGTTTGTGCTTTTATTTTATTGGACTAAAAAAAAAAAGTTTTTAAGGTATCACTTGAAAATGGGACATCTAAGATCCTTTTCTTTTCTTTCTTTTTTTTTTTTTAAAGCAAAAAGCCATAAAGAGCTAAACTTAATTTGCCATGTTAAAATCTTTCCTTCTCTGACCATTGCTACCAGAAAATACATAACCTTAGAACACTGGGTCATACTGCCCCAGGGGTCTAGCCCCACCATCTGCTGGTTCTGGGATGACAGCAAGAGTCTGGCATAAGGCATGAATCATGATTAGATACGAAGCTGAGGCATTTGTATGTGTGGAGGCGAGCAGTTAACTGCAAATCACCCACACATGTCTCATTTAACTATAAAAGAATGGCTTAATATCAGAGTAGAATGTCAGGGGCAAGACAAAAACAAAATAAAACAATGCTAACTCTTGCACTCAAATAATACTTTGCACGGATTAAATCCAGTGAACTGGGAGAATAGCTGTACTAAACATGAATCATAAATCTGACTTACAATTTAGAAAAATCTAACAAGAATTATTTTTACCTGCTAACATATAGATTTCTATATAGGTTTAGAATGTAAATGTCTGGGAACTACCATTTTTCTTTGACATAAAAAAGCAAAGGACAAATTTGTACTTTATCACTAAAATAACACTGTCCAATAAATTCTATTTTTTTATTTCTTAAACTTTTATTTTAGGTTTAGGGTACCTGTGTAGGTTTGTTACATAGGTAAATGGCATGTCATGGGGATTCAGGGTAAAGATTGTTTAGTAACTCAGGTAATAAGCATAGTACCTGATACGTAGTTTCCAATACTCAGCTTCCTTCCACCCTTTATTCTCAAGTAGGTCCCAGTGTCTGTTGTTCTCTTCATTGGGTCCATATGTACTCAATGTTTGGCTCCCACATTTATACATATATTTACCTATATATACATATATATATATATATATGTTTTTTATTTATATTTTTATTTTTTGAGACAGAGTGTCACTCTTTCAACCAGGCTGGAGTGAAGTGGTGCGATCCTAGCTCACTGCAACCTCTGCCTCCTGGGTTCAAGCAATTCTCATGCCACAGCCTCACAAGCAGCTGGGATTACATGTATGCGCTCCAACGTCCAGCTAATTTTTTTATTTTTTAGTAGACAAGGGGTTTTGCTATGCTGGCCAGACTGGTCTTGAACTCCTGGCCTCAAGTGATCTACCTACCTCAGCTTCCCCAAGTGCTGGGATTACAGGCGTGAGCCACCATACCTGGCAGCTCCCATTTAAGTGAGAATGTGTGGTCTTCGGTTTGTTGTTCCTGAGTTAGTTTGCTTAGGATAATGACCTACAGCTCCATCTATGTAGCTGCAAAGGACATAATCTCATCCATTTTCATGACTGTGTAGTATTCCGTGGTGTATATGTACTGAGAGTGTGTGTGTGTTTCTCTTTGTGTCTTTATGGTAGAATAATTTCTATTTTTTGGGTACATACCCAATAATATGATTGCTGGGTAGAATGGCAGTCCTGTTTTAAGTTCTTCGTAAAATAACCAAACTAATTTCCACAATGGCTGAACTATTTACATTCCCACCAGCAATGTATAAGCATTCCCTTTTCTCTGCAACCTCGCTACCATCTGTTATATTTTTACTTTTTAATAATAGCTATTCTAACTTACATAAACTACAAAATTTTTACTACATGTATTTTTTGCACTGGCATTACACTGTATCTCAAAATGTATACTGACTTGTGAACTGAGGATGTTTTCAGATATCTGTAAACACTCTTGAAAAAATTTTAAAACAGCATTAAGAAGTAGTCACAGGTTGATGTTTGCATATCCAAATGAATGGCTACTTGTTAAAAACAAACAAACAAAAAACAAGGCTAAAAACCATGCACTGTGATCAGGAGTCTTCTTTTTTAAAACAGGTAGACTCTTCACTATCTGCCGCCAGACTACTATTGACATTTTAACCACACTCCTTTTAAATGTTCAAAATCAATTTAACATCTTTCTCCTCCTTCACATCTAGGTGCAGTCATAAAAATGTTTAAGAATGCCGACAAATTAAAGGCAGCTGGCAGTCCTTGAATTTTGAAGGACCCATATATGATGGGCAATTACTACTTTAAAGTTTATCTGTGGGACCTGAGGCAGGAGTCATATCACATCCATCACAATAGCCCTTAGAGTTTTTCCAGCATTCATTCTGTCCCTGAAGCCCCGTGTTCTCACTCCATTTGACCTCTCGGTGGTAAGCAGGCAGCTTAGTTAAGACACTGCCAGATATAGAAAAGAAAAGGAAAACTGGGCAATCAGGCCAGAGAAACTTGAAAGAAGAGTAAATCAAGAAACCAGGCTAAAACTGACACAAGAGCAGAAAATCAAACACCGTATATTCTCACTCATAGGCGGGTGTTGAACAATGAGAACACATGGACACAGGGAGGGGAGCACTACACACTGGGGTCCGTTGGGGGGAAAGGGGGAGGGACGGGGGGGTGGGGAGGTGGGAAGAGATAACATGGGGAGAAATGACAGATACAGGTGAGGGGACGGAAGATAGTAAACCACACTGCCATGTGTGTACCTATGCAACAATCTTGCATGTTCTTCACATGTACCCCAAAACCTAAAATGCAATAAAAAAGAAAAAAAAAAAAGAAACCAGGCTATAAAGTCGTATGAGCAGAAGCTAAAGCACAACTCACAAAATTTCTCAAGGCCAATCAAAGTATTACAAAGGAAGGAGTAAGAATGGAAGGGAACTCACAATGTAAGGTTATACTTTGAGAAAGCCTCAAGTTCTAAAGCTGCCAAGTTAATATATTTAAATAATTGGCTTTGCAGTTAAATACCAAGAGGGAATTTCCAGGTATGCTACTACAATAAACTGAATTTATAATGTTAGAATAGAATATAGGTTTCATGAGGTTAAACTAATGAAAAGCATTTTATAACCAATTTATAGTAAGCTCCAGGTTAGAAAAATAAAAATAATGACTGCTATTATTAAGACCCTATTAGGTTAAAAGTGTATTTGGATTAAATTGGTAATATAGCTTTAGAGTAATAAAAAACATTTAAAGTTTTACTTAGCGTTATGAGAACAATAAAGAAGTGGTAAAATAGTGGCCTAGGGATCCTTATGGCAGACTGTGAGAAGACAGGTTTTCACTGAAGACTCAGACTTGGGATTAAGTACAAGGACCAGAAATATGACTCAAAGTAGGGCCATGGGTATCAAGGTTTCTGAGGAATTGTGTATTTCTCAAGGGGTAGATTTTTAAAGTAGGGTGTAACAAAGAGAGTTAGCCATATGCTGCTTTGGGTGATCTGATCTAAGCCCAAGGCTTCATTTACCACAGAGACAAGTCCCCAAACCTCTCCTTTTATGCAACAGAAAACAAAACATTTGCACTTGGATATAAGCTAAATATCTCAAATTTAACAAAATCAAAATCAAATTTACCCTTTCCTTTAAATTCACTTTGGTCTCTATTTCAGCGAATGGCAGGAAACCCATTTAAACCAGAAGCCCTAGAATAATTATAAAATTTTCTCTTTTAGTAAATAGCTCTCTGCCACCCACATTTAATCAAAACACAGGTCCATAGATTCCATTTCACTCTTATCTTTTGCATATATTTTTCCCCATATACA